CACAAAATTCATAAATATTCATAATGAGTTAAAATATATATTTTTCTGTTATTGAGAATATGATTTAAATTTCCATTGCATATATTTTTGGATTTGCATGATATGGATTAAAACATGATAATTATGATATAAACTGGTTTCTACTGGTGTTAGGATCTACGTTAGATAGTATTTTAAAACACAACGGGTTACTAATTAAAATTTAAAATTTTATTAATTTTTATAGTATTTATCGGCGTATTAACGCGGGTCCTATTCTAGTACTATGTATTTTTATGTGTATATTTTTTTTTGGTACAACACATATACTATGTATATATGAAGATAAGTGTTATATATCCAAAAAGAAAATTTAGGAATGAAAATATTTACAGACGGCTTCCAACTTAATTATAATTCCTAGTGCGGACAAACTTGTGCTCAACTCACGAACCAGAATCACACGCAATATGGGAGTTTACCGGATGAAATCACTTGCAACTCCGATGCAGCTTGGAACTCAACAACAAATTCAGCAGGCCTCGGTTGGCTCTTCTTTGACACCAACGATACTGAAATTTGTAGGAACCACTGTGCAAAAGCTAATGTGTTGTCCCTCTTTATGGCTGAAGCGTTAGCAATTTGAGCGGCGCTTTCACAAGCACAAGAGATGGGATACACGAAGCTACGCATCAACTCTCGGGAACCGATCAAGAAACTCTATGAAATCCTTTTTGATATCAGTTCCCTAGCATCTTAATTTGTTGCTCTATCCTTTGTTTACATGTCACAAACGACTAACGTTTTGGCCGATACTCTAGCTAAGAAGGCTCTTCGAGATTTCACCACTTCAATGTAATCACAAATTATATTAAATGAAATGGCCGTTCAAAAAAAAAGTCCCGATAAACTTACAGTTTTGCTTTTTGGTCATAAAATATGAGTGAATTTGGTAAATAAAAAAAAAAAATTATTTAGCTGAATTGTAATTTCTAGAGCCGTTATTAAAAATAAGAAAAGGATATCGATAATAAAACTTAGATGAAA